GCTGTAGCCATATAGCTAACACTGGACTTGTGCTGGAGACACTCTCTGGGTAGCCAGGAACAGGCAAGGGCATTCTAGGATCAGGTTAGAAGGTAGCTCTGTTCCTGACACCGCCAGAGTCCATCTCCAATAGAAGGTGCAGTGTTAGTCTGAGGGCAGGGGTTGAGGGCCAGCCAGGCTGTTCTGAGTCCTGTCTCTGGATCTCCCTCTGTGATCTTGGCAAGTCACTCATATTCTCTGTGCCATACTCTCCTCATCTATGAGGATGATTACAGTAGTAATTACCCCATATTGCTGTGTAAGGCTTTAAGCAAACACACACTGATCTGGTTCCTGTTTAAAGTCTGCTAAGTGCTAGATTTGGCTGTTGGTATCATTCTCTGCCAGCTGTCCACTACCTGCCAAGACAGAGTATAAAACACAGAGGTCCATATCCATACCTGCACTGACACCCACTGCTCATGGCCGTCTAGACACGGCACACATGCCACCACAGAGCAGTGGGCAGCTGCTGTGCACCACTTCTCAGACCCTTCCTTCTCAACATGGGCAACCACGGTCCCCCAGCTGCCTGACCTCCTGGCTCCCTGCTGTGTCCAGCTCTGGGAGGCATGATGATGGCATGAAGCACACTAAGCAGGCAGCCCTCCCTCTAGCTCCCTGAGCAGCTCCCCTTGCATCCCACCCCCATGGTGCCAGCAATCCTTTCTCCTGGTGTCTCTCTAGCCTAGGTGAGCCAGGAGCTTCCTGCTGCTGCTCATCTAGAGTTTATCACAACACCCAGCTGAGGTTTCCGCTCCTCTGTCTCCTCTGTGATCAGCTCCCTACCTTCTGTTCCCTCTGGCCTCAATAACCATGGCTTTCCTGATTGGACTCCTCAGCAGCAGGAATTACTGCTCCCTGGACATCCTTGAGGTACATACTGTGTGACACACCCCTTTCCCAGGCAAGGTAATGGAGGTACCAAGTGTGTACAAACGACATGTACACCCCGCCCCCCCCCCCCCCCCCCCCCCCCCCCCCCCCTCCCCCCCTCTCCCCCTCACACACGCGCACTTCCTAAAATGAAGCTTGCTTTTGGCATCAGGGAAGTCACAGAAATGGGACGGGGTCCAACAGATACACAGACCTAAGCACACAAAAGCACACAGAACTCCCACATTTGCATACTCCTTTATGCACATACTGAAGTGGACACTGCATACCCACACTTGCATACTTGAGCACCTATGCATACACCATCTGCACCATGTGCACACAACCTCTGTGGCCCAAGAGGAAAGTGCCATGAGCAGTCAGCCACTCTGTCCCCACTCAGTCACACCCATGGGGAACAAGCAGAGACAAGAAATCTGATGGAGTTAGATTTCTAACTAACATACCCTAATTCTTTCAGGGTACAAAGGTTGGGGTATAGATCTGGCTTTCATCTGCTCTAGTGAAGAGGGTAAAGAGCCTGCTAGCCCCAGCCTCTGGTCAGCATCTTGCCTCTCCTATGTGAGGTGACAGCTCATATTCCAGCTATGCTGGCCTAGGTAGGCTCAGAAATTCTCCCCTCCCAGCACCAGCACCTCAGACATGACCACACCTGAGTCAAAGTGCCCCTTGAGTGCCTATGGAAGATGCTGTGGCTTCATCTGCTCAGACAGTATAAAAGCTGGTGCCCCCTCTCCAGCCCGATAGCTCGGCTTGGCTCAGGAAGAAGGGAAATGAAGACACCTTGACAGGGTTTTTTCTATAACCATGCTCTTTCCTGCAGACTCTGCTGAAAATGGCAGAAAATCTGCTGCCAACACACCTGAGAAAGGAAACAGCTGTTTTAACTTCAGGTCTGGCTCCTCCAGATTCTCTCTGACCACAGGCTGTGTGCCTCCCTTGGTTCTGCTCTTATGTACCCTCTTCCTCTGCGGGAGGAGGGGATAGTCGCCACTGACTGGGGTGGAGGAGGGGAATTCCTCAGCAAACTTCAACTGTTTGTTAAAGAAAATGGAGGAGGCCACAGACATCCCCTAGAAACCCTGGACATTGCTTTAGCTGTTTTGTAGATGGGGAAACTGAAGCTCGCAGACTTGCTGAACTGAGGTCCCTAGGGCCGAGGCCTCACTGGTAGCCATGTGCTCACTTTCCTGTCCTGAGTTGGAGACATGAGCATCATGGAGACAAACAGGTACAGGAGATGCTGGAGACTCTGGTGATGGGCAGTCTGTCCACCCCTCAGTCCTGGCACCTCCCCCATCCCAGCCCCAGGAGCTGTGAAAGCTCAAGGACTTCAGTCTGGGTGAGCTAGCTTGGTCAGGTGGAGACAGAGGCTTCGTGGAAAGCTTCTCCTGAAGTTATGCTGCAATGAGGGGTGCTTGGGGTACAGTGGGAAGGGAGGGCAGAGACTTGGGAGGAGTGCCCTGAGTTCTGGGGAGCTGGTGGTGGGAGCCACGCCCACCTGCAGTTGGAGCAGTATAACCTGCTCTTAAGAGCAAGCATCAGCAAATGAAGAGCAGAAAGGTGTGTGTGTGGTGGGGGGAGATGCTATGCTGGGGAGGCCCAGGGCTAAGAGCACTGTTACAGTTCACAGATGGCCATCTTTCAGAATAGCCTCTATAAGGGCCTTAGCAGACAAGACCTTTCTAGAATGAAGCTGCTCCTGCTAGGTGCCAAGCTGAACTGTGAATGGACCAGTGGACCAGTTTTCCAAGAACAGGAGCCCCCACAGTGGCCAATCACAAGGGAGTGTTCACTGCACTGTCCCCCTCTGTGCTTTCTTTACAGGGAATAACTGAAATGGCTAATCTCCTGTGTTGGGTTTCTGCTTTCCACAGCACTTTCCACGAAGTCAGCCTCCTTTGTTTGGCTCCTGGACACTCATCATTTCATAGAATGAGGCGTCTCCCAGCTTTAGAATGACAAGTAAAAGCCAATTAAGATCTCTCTATCTGCTGTGATTCTGTGGCTGGCAACAGGGGGGAAGAGAGGCAGGGTGGCCATGCAGCTAAGCTGAGACTCTGGGTATAGGACACAGGGAGGGTCAGGCACCCTGCAGAATGCTGCATAGCGCTGGGGCCTGCACTCCTACACTGACCTGACATTTGCTGGAGAGTGGAGTCCCTAAGCTGTCCCAAGTCAGCTACTGAGCTCTGCTTTTTGGTCCCAAGACCCTCCAGGCTTTGTGGTCTGGGCAGATCAGTCACCTATGGTTGTGGTCAGTGAGGTGTCTTGTGAAGCTGCTCCTGACTTCCACCCCCAGGGCCTCCTTAGACAGACTTCAGCTGAGGCTAGTTAGTGTTGCCATTCCCAGACAGCAAGGTTCTATAGAGCTCTGAGGCCAACACAGCCTCCCCTCTTGCCCCCAGGCAGTCAGCAGTGGCACCAGGGTACTTGGGCTAGAGGCCAGGGGTGAGGGTGTGTGTCTGCTAGGGCTCCTGGTCAGCTGGCTTGAGTCTGAGACCCAGTGCTGGCCTGCAGAGGGACACTTGGAGGAAGCTGTGTGGCCTAGTAGTTGCTGGGCAGGGGAGTAAGGAGGAGATCCTAGGGGTCAGTGGCTGTCTGCAGACCCATGAGCAAGCAAGGCACAGGGAAGCTGAAAGGGACCAGGAGAGAAGTTTTGCTCAGCAGTGCTGGAAGCTACATACGATGGTGCCATTTATGCCAGAGCTGGGGGTGGTCTGTTTCCCAGCAGAGTGAGCTGGCACAGGCTTGTGCAGTCTAGTTCCCAGGTGCACACACACCTGGTAGTGTCTGCTTGCCCAGCCCTGGAGCCCGACTGAGCTTGCAGAATAGGAGGGATATCTGCCGTGGGATTTCCAAGACAGACAATGTCTAGTAGCTAGGTCTCTGGGGGAGGCTCAGAAAGGCTCATTGTTCCTAGATGGAGGACAGCTCTGGTGTCACTTAAGGTCAACTAGTCATGTGACCTGTGACCCCCTCTGATCTCAGCAGGTCTTTCCCTCCCTGCAGGGCTTAGGCTAGGGTACCAGTTAGCTTCCCTATGCACTGTGAGACACTTACCCATAACACTGAAGGAGGGTGCCATGGATATGTTTCCCGAGAACCACTCCCACAGTGTGGCTGAATAAGACCATCAGGCAAACCTGCCCAGATGGCAGGTATTCCCCAAACATCAGTTCTCCCTTGGGTTTCCAGGGAGAAGTACGAAGATGAGCAGAGATGCCTGTGCCGCAAAGCCTGAGTCTGGGACACTCAGCTCCAGATAGCTCAGGGACTCCCTGAGCAAACCTAAACAGGAAACACAAGGCCAGGGAACCCCAAGTTCCACTCAAAACCCCATCCTGATGTGATGCAAGACACAGTGTGGTCCTAGTGCTTGATGTACAGTCATAGGGAAGGCTGAAAACTGGAAGGCCAGTATTTAGACCTGTCCATCTTAGTCCTCACATTGTACCCTAGCGGTACCACCTACACCATGTCAGAGACCTGGAAACTGACCATCGTTTCTTACTATCTCATATTCAGACACCCACTCTGACCCATCAGAGCAGGGCAGCCTCATCATCCTGGGCTGTGCATGCCACAGTGCTCTCTGGCTTGGCCCTGCCTTATTCTGCCCTTTTCTGTGAGGACAGAATGACATGGCTCTAGGTGTCTGAATAGCACTGACCCCTGCTCAAGGCCTGGTTTCCCCAGCCTTGCTGCCATTTCCCCCAACTTCCTTTTCCTCTCATGCCTACTGCCTCCTTAGCTACAGACCACCTTGGCCCTCCCCGCCTGGGGCCCACTCCTCCCAACTCTGTTCTGTCTTGTAATTATCCACCAGCCTTCCTGAGAGCAAACAGAAGGTCTTTCTGGAAGCTGGCACCATCCCAAGGAAAAACAAAATTCCTTTATTTCTTTTCATACCTGCTCTGTGGTGGCCATGTAGTTATGGGTTTCCATGCTACCCCCTTCCAGGCCTAGTATTCCCCCAGAGAAGCAGTCTGTCCCATGAGGCTCTGTGTCATTGGTGACCAACAGACGGCTGGACAGAGTCAACAGAAGTGACTGGGTGCCAGTTAGTGAATGACTGCAAACAAAGACATCTGCTTTATTTGTTTTTGGTCAGTAGCACATACTGTTTCTCAAGCATGGTGACCCCATGCTCAGAGGCATATGGGTGCCCAGCTGGGAACTGCAGGGTACAGGGGCCATGGCCTGGGGTCTGTGGTCCTATGATGGGTCCTTTCTTCAAGGCTCCAGGAAGGATGCTGCTCCTCAGCCCTTCAAAGAGAATAGTCAGTTAGCTGGCCTGGGACCTGAACTGGGTCTCTCCTCATTGCCCAGCAGGATGAAAGCCCTTTACTTAACACATTCTCCACTCTCACAGTGGCATGCCTGACCCCCACCCTGGTATAGAGCAGCCTTGTCCGCTTTTGCTCTGCATAAGCAAGGGCCTCCCTGTTCTCTAGTTTAACAGCTAGGGGTTTTCTAAAAGAGATACTGGGAGAGAGCACCTTACAATCATGTTTACGCTATAGGGAGCTCTGCATACCTAGAGGCAGGTATACAGCTTTGTATCTGGAGGGGGCCCTCAGGTGTCCTGAGCTGTCCCAGGAATGCCTCTGTCATCTAAATGCTTTTGGAAGGAAATCTTTTCTGATTACCTATCACATCATTCCTGTCTCAGCTTTGCTAAGGACCATGTTCAGTGAGCTGGCAGGGGGCAATGTTTTTCTAGTTAGTGTGCCTTAGTCACAGGGAGTCCTGTGAGCCAGGTGCCACGGCCCGCACAGTATCGGACTGCATATATGGTTTAGGGGTGGCCCGGGGGCCCAGCTGGCCGCTCATGTAGCCAGGGGCTCACAGAGGATTTGCTTTCCAGGAGCATTAGGGCCAGGAAGGAGAGGCTGAGCCTGGAAGGTCCCAAGCCTCTTTAAGGCATGTGTAGTGACAGAGGCACAATGGAGCTTCCTGCAATCTGTTCACCACCATCATCACATTTTCCATGCTTTCACTTGGTGCAATGAAGATATACTGGTGGGGGTGGCACAGGGACTGAAAGTGGCCACTGACACAGGGTGAATGGAGCAGGGCTTAGAGCTGCTGCTGAGGAAAGCTGGAGGTATAGCAGGGTAGCCCTTCTCTCAGTCCCCAAGCTTATGAAGTAGACAGACTTCATAAGTCCAGCCAGGTAGAGCAACATAGGGGATACGTCCCAAGGACATGTCTATGGTCCTCAGAGTAGTGAGGCATAGCTCTGAGCCAGGCAGTGGATGGGACATCTAAATGATGGGACCCAGGCATAGACTGTCCCATGCTTATACACTAGGGTGGTGGCCTCACCTTTCGGGCAGTGCTCACACAGTGCTGGTATTCCTTGACTAGGTCCGAGCACAGAAGTACCTCATGCAGATGGTCACGGTAGCAGCGGAGGATCTGGGCCTGTAGGCCGGAACATACAGGCTCCACCCTGCGGGGCCTGGGGGATGACAAGAGCAGGTGGTTGGCATTAGAAGGCACGGGAGGCAAGAACTCACACTCAACACCCAGAAAGACACTAGGATAAGCTTTGATGTCCATCCACACGTCAGCTCACTCTCTACAAGGGAGGAAGTGCAGGGTCTGGTCCTATGACGAGTGGCCAATGCTGAACAGACTGGAGTATAGGGCTGTATGACAGCTGGCTGCTGTCCTAAGTCCCCAGTGTCACCAGGATGTGTGAGGGGCCTGGTGGTCAGGAGCCTCAGTTGGAGGACACACACTGGACAGCCTCCTAGCTGACTGGGTCAGGCTCTGTCCAGGGGGATCTTCTGTGTATTGATGATCTGACACCATGGCCATGTGACAGGAATGCCATTTTCCCCACAAAACCCCTGTTCTAATTTTACCACAAGCACAACTGAAACAGGAAACCTACAGAAATGTCCAAAAGATAAAAATACACTTCCCAGAGATAACTGTAGTAATGTTGAGGCACTTTACTATCTTTTCTTTCTTCCTTTATCAAAATAGTTTTAGAATCTACAACAAATGAATATGCTGACTTTCTGTAACTATGATACAAAACCAATGATAAAAAAGTAAACAATAGATTACACCGTTACAGGTGCCGCCCAGACTCCCTGTGGCCACCTTTGAGCTGCAGACCACGTCCAAAGCCTTTTTCATTCCACTTACTTACCCTCTGCCTCGACCCTCATGGCCCCCCCACCCCCGTCTCTCTCACTGTCACACACCCAGTGTCCCCACAACGCACACACACACAGCTACACACTCTCATGCGTCTCACGCACACTCCCACATGTATGGCTGCTCCTCGGTCCCTCGCACACACTCACTCTCCTGTGCTCGTGCACGGTCACCCACTCCCATGCACTCACACTTCCTCCCTCCCTCCCGCACAGCCATTCTCTCACACTCATCCTTCTCCCCCTCCCACAAACCTCCTTTAACACCTTTCCGCAGGGTCCAGAGCACACTTACTCTCACACTCCCAGCCCCCAGCAGCTCACAGCAGTACACTGGTGAAAAGATGCCCCCATTACTCTCCTGGCTTTGTGGCACAGGCTATTTATTCTTCCCCACCTCCTCCCACATGAGAAAACTGTGGTATAGAGAAGTTGCATCACATAGCCAGCGTGTGGGGAGGTATATTTATTGACATTGTGGTGGCGCCATCCACTCATCAGCTTTCCAGTGGGTTTTCATCCAGGCTCACTCGGGGTTATAACAGCTGTGGTGGACTTGCAGTGACACCTGACAGTTATAAAGCTGCAGTGAGCCATTCCTTACATTCCTTGGCAATAAAAAGGATGGCTATTCTGCAAGCTGTGTTCCAGCCTGGACTGCTGCTCTGCCCTACACCTCTGAATTTAGTGTCAGCCATGCAGTAGACACCAGAGGGGGTAGTGCTGTCATCAAGATAACTCAAGCAAGTCAAAGTCATCAGTTAAGAAGAGCCAGCAGCAGAGTCGTCAGGGGCTTAGGAAGTAAGTCTGCCCATGTGTCTCATGCTCAGGCCAGGGGTCTGGATGGGTACTTCTAGCACTGCCATTTGCTCCATAATGCTGCCTGGGGTCCTTCCTTCTTCCTGATCCAGCCCTGAACTATAGTCATGATACACTGTCTCCTCTGTAGGCATAGTGCCTCATTTAATCAGAACTGACCCTTCCTAGAAACCTCACTTATCCAGTTCACCTTTCTTTGCTGGGCAGAGCTTGGTCATGGCCTTTCAGACATGTGCCTGTGAAGGAGTGAGAGCCCATGTTTAGCTGAGACAGTAAGGGTCAGCCAAGTTCTGAACAAGTTAGGAGGTTTGCAACAGAAGTGAGCAGGCTGGCTGGGCTGCTATGGTAAGCTACCAGGCCACAGGGGAAAAAATCCTACTTACAGGGTTGCAGCCCCCTATCCTCATAGCTGTGCTCAATATTACCTACAGGAGCCTCTTCCTGACAAGCTCCAGTGAGGTCACATGCGGTCTTTGCCTCTGCACTGACATCCCATCCTTAGACACATGAGGGAAAGGTGCCTTTTGCATGTGGTCCCTTTCTCTTGAGGCCCTGGAGACCCCGCTGCCAGCTTTTACCTACTGTTCAGAGGCCCTGTGGGTACTGTGGGATCACCTGCTTTGTAACTTTCCAACTGCTTGTGGAATGGCTGTTTTGTACTTTTGGTACAAAGACATCCAGTCATGGGCCTTTTGGAGCTGTATGACCTTGGAGGACAGAGTTCTCAGTGGCAGTCTGTCTCAGACAAGTGCTCTCTATGAGCACTGCTGAGGTCCCCCAGAAGCACCCTGAAATGCCCGCTTGCACCCATATCTCACTGTCTTCCCTCCTGGCTCTGTTCTCTGGCTCATACCTGGGAAGGTGTACTTGTCCTCCTTGCACAGAGTTAACCCTGCATAGTGGTGCCTTGACTGCCAGCTATATTTGGTGGGCTGTATTGCTGCCCCCATGCCAGGTCTTATGTTTCTAAAACATAGCCTCTCACCTGTATAAGACCCTGGGGTGCAAGTTCAAGTTTAAAGCACACTTCCCTTCCCCGTGTGACCTTTGAACATGGTCAACAGGTACCTGACACTAGAGGCTATCTCAGCTCTAAGTGGTATGAGACTTACTGTCTTTATTGAGAAAGTACCCTGGCAGGCCCCTGGGCCTAGCTTGAGGCACGCTGGGAGCCAGAGCTCTGACTCAACCTCCCCCTCCATACGCTTATGACAGAGCCACTAATAAATTACACTGAGCTGCAAGTGGGCAGAGGAGTTGGTTCATCCTAGGCTCTTTCTTTTCTCATGGCCACTAACTAGAGCTGCCTACCTCACAGGTGGCTGCTTTCTTGGCTTCAAGTACTGATAGGAGGGCCTGTGAGCTGAAAGCAAACTTCAGAGAATACACAGTGGGTTCCTAGGCAAGAAGAAACTGGGCTATGTGAAATCTACCTCCTGCCCAGCATTGCCACTGCTGAGGCCACAGTACCTCTCCACAGGGACTTCAGCACAGTAGGAGCACACACAGGCAGGAAAATGTCAACGGAAGTTTTAGCCATTGTGCACAGAAGGCGCCGAGGGGAGGCAAAGCTCCTGAAGTGAACCTTTCTCTGAAATGGGTAGGGCTAGCCAGGTCAAACCACTCGGAAGCAGGTGTTGGGTGGCTTCACCCCATTCAAGGTGACCTGTTTTACCCTGAGTGGGTACCAAAAGCTCCAATGGGTAAGAACAATCCTGTATTCACATCCATTCGGATGTCAGTTTAGGTGGTTGTAGAAATCCTGCTCAGCTGACCTGGGACACACAGTCTCAGCACACACTCAGTAAATGCAAAGTCCTATAGCAAGAATGGCACGCAAATCAGGTCCCCAGCAGCCAAAGCCCTCACCCAGAAGAGGACATGGCCTTAGCATACCAGGGGCCAGGCAGGTTTTCTGTTTCTGCAGTGCACATCTATATTTCTGCTTAGCTTCCATCAGTGTGGATCCCACACATCTGCCACGATAGAAAGGGGGTGGCCTGGGAGGAATTAAGCCCTAATGGCTTCTGCACAACTAGAGGTCAGGGGTCTTGAGTTTCCTTCACTGTCCACATCCTTCCCAGCCCTTGGAACATGACCTTATTTGGACACAGTGTGGCTATGGATACACTTAGTAAAGACAGGTAACGGAGAAGTAGAATGAGTCAAATCCAGCAGTAATCTAGTTCACACTCTCATGAGAAGAAAAAAGGACAGTGACAGACACATGAGAGGGTTGTGTGAGGACAGAGGTGGAGACTGTACTACAGACACTTCACCAGCCATGAAGTGCAGAGGCAGGAGTATCTGCAGATACCAGGAGTATCTGCAGCTCCCACACTGGATGAGAGGGCCGGCAACTGCTCACACCTTACACTTGGACTCATAGCCTCTAAACTACCAGGCACCTACTGTGCATGTAGCAGAATGGACACCAGGCTCAGAAATATCTCTACCCAACCTTGGGAGGCACTGTCCTCACTAGTTTTATGTCAACTTGACACAAGCTAGGGTCTTTTTTGAATATAGGATTGTAATTGAGAAAATGCCCTCACTAAATTACATTTTCTTGATTGATGATTGATGTAGGAGGGCCCAGCTCAATGTAGGTGGTGCCATCTCTTGGCTGGTGTTCTTGGGTTCTATAAGAAAGCAGGCTGAGCAAGCCACAAGGAGCAATCCAGTAAGCAACACTCTGCATTAGCTCCTGCCTCCAGGTTCTTGCCCTGTAGGAGTTCCTGTCCTGACTTCCTTCAGTGATGAATAGAGATGTGGAAGTATAAGCAAAATAAACTTTCTCCTCCCCAAGTTGCTCCTGGAGGTAAACTGTGGTCATGAGCATGGTCAAGAGAAGGAGCAGCTCTATAAGAGACACTTTGTTCCATAAATAGCCCACATCTTGAGAGACATCTAGGGTGAGGAACAGCACAGGAAAGGACGATGTATCTATCCAGGTAAATAGCCTAGGAAGAAAAGCTAACTTACCTGGGAATACAAGTAGGTAAGGTCTTTCCTATTCTGATTAGACAGACCACGCTAGGGACTACTGTGTCCCTGAAAATATACATCACTAAAGCTATAACATGTCCCTGAAAACACAAACAACAACTTTGTGAGCTAGGTGTTACTACCTCATTCCACACGCAGGGATGAGTTTCAAAAAGCCTGAGTGGGCTGGATGGTGGTGGCACACACGCCTTTAATCCTAGCACTTGGGAGTCAGAGGCAGGCGGATCTATGTGAATTTAAGGCCAGCCTGGTCTATAGAGTGAGTTCCAGGACAGGCTTCAAAGTTACACAGACAAACCCTGTCTCAGAAAAACAAACAAACAAACAAAAAAAAACCCAAAAAACCACAACAAAACAAAAAACCTGAGTGGTTTTCTCAAGGACATGCAGCAGTAAGACAGAGGAATGATAAGAATAGCCTGGTGTGTCCATTTCCATAGCCTATGTCTTCACTCCACTCAAC